CGCATGATCGTGCCTGACAGAAGCTGTGTTTCCCTCGTTTAGCAAGAAACGGCCTCAAGAGCGGCTGATTGATTAGGAGTCCCTCCCCCAAAGCCTTTTTTATTCCGACCCCCCTCCCCTCCTCACATCACCAGGACACAGATCCCCCAGGGGGAAAAGCACATCTCATTATACGGCAAATGGCCGATCGGCCGCCAGTACGCAGCGCGCCGTCTTCCTGGAACGGCGTTAACCCTTGTATAGGCCGCAATGCAGCGCTGCCATGGCACGGAGAGGGGGAATGACACACACTGCTCAGGATATAAGATTACAGAGCTCCTGTCCCAACATACACACTCATTCCTGCTTAGAGGAATATGGTGAAGAATAGACCAGTGAAAATTTACTTTCTTGGTATAGGAGGCCTCAGTTGTGGCCCCTGATATCACCAAAGGGCCACATATACCCTGGAATTCATAAAGAGTGTCAAAGATACTATTTAAAAATCCATCAACTGGCAGCACATATGACAGATTGATGTACATGTCAGTAAGGTGTATAGAAATCTTACAGCTCTGACAAAACTGTTGCACGTATCTCTCCTGCGAAGTGGCAGAGTTTTAGGCTACGTTCACACTAGCCTTGTTTTCAAGCGGCAGAAAGGCATTTGGGAAGCGTTTTTACCGCTTCCCAAACGCCTTGGACAATTCTGCCCATTTCAGCACATGGTGCTGTTCTAACGGGAGTGGTGGCGGCACGTCGTGGTGCGGCAAAACTGACGCCTCTCGTCAAGTCAGGAGGCATTGAAGCCTCCTATTCTAGTCTATGGTGCCGCTCCGCAACCGCCCGGCCGGCGTTTGCGGTGCGGTTGCGGGGCGTTTGCGGAGTGGTAACGCCATTCAAACTTCTTCATTATAGGCGTTTGTGTGGTGTTTTTAACGCTCGGCAAACGCCTAGCAACTGCCACTGAACCGCGCATGCGGCGTTTGCGGAGCATTTGCCGAGCGTTAAAAAACGCTCCGCAAACGCCGGACCAACGCTTGCCAATTGCTATAGGGGCGTTTGGCAAGAGTTGGTAAAACAGTCAAGTGTGAACGAGCCCTAACAGCAGAAAAGCGGTTTGAAGAAGTCAAAAGAATAATTGAATTAACAAATATCAGTTCCAGAGGAACATAAAACCACTTTTTGTTGCACGTGGAATTATTTTGTCGTATCTTTGAGACAATTCTGAAATAAAATCAACAATTTGCTCCAACATAGAAAAAGTCTTATATATCGCCACTTTTTTGGGCCTCTGCACTGAAATTGCCATTCACGTACCTGTAAGAAACAGGTATAATTCTTTCAGGGGACAGCACTAAGGCTGGAGTGTTCATACTGGACACTCCTTCCTCAATGTACGCCCATCACACTGCCACCACATGGCCAAGAGTTTTGTAGTGAAGTCGGTGGAGCCTGATGGGGAACTAAGGCTGGCCATAGACGGGCTGTTTATCAGCCGAATTGTCAGCCAATAAATAAAAAATCGGTTGGCCACGTTGCCGATGCTGCCACCAATGTCCACGAAAAACGGGCATTTCCAGCATGACCGATAAAAATAAACAAAAAGATCCGCGAAAAAAAACGGCCGATGGGCTGGCCCCACTAACTGCGTGAATATCGGCCGATTTTTCATGCAGACGAAAAATTCGGCCAATAAACGACCCGTCTATGGCCTGCATAAGAGACTAGTTCCCCATCAGGTCCATTTTGCTTATGACTGACAGCAGATGGCAGTGGGCATATCTGTAGTAGCTGTTTAGTCCAATAGCAGCTTACAAATCCACCCACTACCATCTACTGTCAATCAAAAGCAAGGCGGGCTGGATGGGGAACTAATCAAGTTTTCCATCTGGCTTCGCCAACCCAAAAGACACTTCGGCTGTGGAGACTAGTGCCACATAAATTTCACCTCCTTAGTAAATCAAGTCATTTCCCAAATGTGGGTATTACCATATTGGGGTAATGGCATTACCAGTATCCCTGATCCATTTGTTTACAATCAGCATCTGGCCAAAGGAACAGCGAGCAGCTGAATGGGGACAGGGATGGAGCCCTGTGTAGGAAGCTGTCACATTTGTGACAGCTTTCCAGCCCGGACATGCCCCACATGTACCTCTTTACACAACTCAGAGTTGGTCTTAATTACCGGCAGTTTCCCAATATGCAAATTGGCAGTAATTCTTTAAAGCAGAACTCCAGTCAGAATTTTTATTTTCCCATGCAGTGGGGCTGTGCCTGCACTGCATGGGTTAACTGCTCATTTTTTCAGGGGGCTCAGGAAAAAGCTATACTTACCCCTTCCAGCAGTGGACTGTTCCTGCCATCCTCACTTCTGGAGCCAGTCTATGGGCATGATGACATCAGGAACAGCCCATTCACAAGACTGCTAGTGGAAGGGGGGAGTTAGGAGCGGTGGGGACCAGTCGTGCGCTTGCAGGATAGGTGGATTAGGTAAGTAAGTATGGTAAGTATCATATCTAAGCTTTGGGAACCCATGGACAAAAACAAGTGTTTAACTCATGCAGTATGGGAAAATAACATTTTTACCCGGAATTCTTCTTTAAGAATATTAAGAATCTATAGCTGCCATTGCGACAAATTCTCAAAGCGGTGGTAGGAAGAACTACCTGCGTATGTGCACATGTCAGTACTTGTACTAACACTGGCACAAAGGCTTGCCTAAATTAGGCACAAGTAGTTTTAAAGGGAACTGAAAATGTCATAAATACTTTATTGAATTCCCCAGCTTACAGTATATGAAACTGCTAGAGATCACCCTTACAGCCCTTTGCTTCCATAATTGTGCTTACTACAACCCTTCTTAGGACTCATTCACACAGGAGTAGAGAGTTATACAGCGTATAAATATTACTGGATTTCTTCTTCTAGGAGTGACAGGTGTTTGCGTACAGCTGCATGTACAAATCAATGATAGGCTGTGGCTGAATGCTGATAACCACCCATCTGAGTGTACAGGGAAAGATGAGAGGCTCTGGACACAAAGGAGTTGATTTACTAAAACTGGAGAGTGCTAAATCTGTTATAGCTCTGCATAGAAACCAATCAGCTTCCAGGTTGCCTTTTGTCAAAGCTTAATGGAACAAGCTGAAGTTAGAAGCTGATTGGCTACCATGCACAGCTGCAGCAGATTTTGCACTCTCCAGTTTTGATAAATCAACCCCAAACTGTCTGTCTAGGGGTGTACATCTGCCCCTATACTCAAGTAAACAGTTGGATGTGCAGTTACTGGCATACATCTGCAACCTCTCAACGATTTGTTCAGTAACTATAATTCTTGGGCACAGAATGTATGCTTGTTTTTCACAATGGATGGCCCTCAGTACTACTGTGAATGAGCCCCTAAATGACTGTGCCACATTTATATTTTTCTCAGCAAAGTCAATTATAAAAGATCAGAGGAATAAAAAAAAATTAAAAAGTAAGATAGTGTGAAAGATATAAAACCAAAATCATCTATCTCCTAGAAGCCAGAATATTTTCCTTCACTGGCCACAGTAAGAACCTAAGTAAGGAAAACACCGACTAATGTCTTTAGGGGCCCCAAAGACCACAGTGACTGCCAAAGAGCTGCAGGTTGCGCACCAGGGCATTAGAAGAACTTCTCCCATCAAAGCATCAAGCCAGCTTATAATACATTGTGAAAAGTACATGTATTATCTCCATGCTAGACAATACAACCACAGTGGAATGGAGCCACTGTAGGTGAAAACGACAAGTGAACCTAGTGCTGCCTAGACACATAACTGGACAAAGCTGGATTCACACCTTTTAATTTTTACCTGATCCATTTAAATCAAAGGAAATGCATCAAAACACTATCAAATGCTCAGCGATGTGTGTTGAAATGTGTACTGATGCGTTTCTAATGATCTCAATAGTAAACATGCCAAAACGCATAAGTGTAAATACAACTTCAGGATTTTGTTCACAACACAGTGTGTGTTATAATATGCATTACAGTAACACACTGTGATTGTGTGTTGCAGGGAAGAAAAACGCTCAATTCCCCCATCAACACAATCGGCATTGATGGTGAGAATTCCTCCCACAGAGCTATTGTGTTCTCCCAAAGGAGAGGGCTCAGGAGAAAGCCGTCCTTGCAGAGAGAACAGAGTGATTATTGCTAGCGGCTATAACTGCTGGCAATAACCGCATGAAAAATCCGACAAGCTGGTTGTTCCCAAGTCGTACAGCAACTGAATTGAGCCTGTCCATAGATGGGTCAAACCTCAGTTGGTACCTGCTGAACCGACCAAGATTCAAACCATCTATGGCTGGCTTAAGCCTGAGGTTATGCGAGAATGGGAGGTCATGGGGACTGTAACTGCTTGTGGAGTACTATGGCAAATTGTGGATGAGACCAAAATATCAGATTTAAGGGGTGCATTTTCACAGTGAGCTGCCTTCAAGAGAATAAATCATATGCAACAAATAGGCACTAATGATAGCACACTTCCTGTCCTAAGGTGACAATGCTTACCATAATGCATCCATGGAGGAGCATGGTTGTCACGCTAGACTGCTTGCACCTGATATGGACTACAGAACACCTCCCCTTTTGCTCATTTCTATAACACAGAGGGAGGTTTTCTTTATATTATAAAGGTGAACTGGGAAAAGTTGTTAACACTGTTTGGGGATTTAGTGCATCAGTTGCACTAGCGGGTTCAACAGGAGTTATGTACTTCTGGAACAAATAACAAAATGTTTTTAATTGTGTATTTAAAGCCTAACTCCAGGTTTGAGTTAAAGCAGTAGTAAACTGCACCAAAAAAAAAAAAAAAAAAAAATCCCCTGCAAGGTAATGTCATGATGTGCTAGTATCGCATACTAGCACATTAAGAAGGACTTGCAGTATCTCACAGAAGTGAGCACACTCCTCACATTTTTGTAAATATTTTATTATTATCTTTTCATCTGACAACACTGAAGAAATGGCACTTTGCTACAATGTAAAGTAGTGAGTGTACAGCTTGTATAACAGTGTAAATTTGCTGTCCCCTCAAAATAACTCAACACATAGCCATTAATGTCTAAACCACTGGCAACAAAAGTGAGTACACCCCTAAGTGAAAATGTCCAAATTGGGCCCAATTAGCCATTTTCCCCTCCCCAGTGTCATGTGACTCATTGGTGTTACAAGGTCTCAGGTGTGAATGGGGAGCAGGTGCGTTAAATTTGGTGTTATCACTCTCACAATCTCATACTGGTCACTGGAAGTTCAACATGGCACCTCATGGCAAAGAACTCTCTGAGGATCTGCAAAAAAGAATTGTTGCTCTACATAAAGATGGCCTAAGCTATAAGAAGATTGCCAAGACCCTGAAACTGAGCTGCAGCACGGTGGCCAAGAACATACAGCGGTTAAACAGGACAAGTTCCAGTCAGAACAGGGCTCGCCATGGTCGACCAAAGAATTTGAGTGCACATGCTTAGTGTCATATTCAGAGGTTGTCTTTGGGAAATAGACATATGAGTACTGCCAGCATTGCTGCAGAGGCTGAAGGGGTGGGGGGGCAGCCTGACAGTGCTCAGACCACACGCCACACACTGCATCAAATTGGTCTGCATGACTGTCATCCCAGAAGGAAGCCTCTTCTAAAGATGATGCACAAGAGAGCCCGCAAACAGTTTGCTAAAGACAAGCAGACTAAGGACATGGATTACTGGAACCATGTCGTGTGGTCTGATGAGACCAAGATAAACTTATTTGGTTCAGATGGTATCAAGCGTGTGTGGCGGCAACCAGGTGAGAAGTACAAAGACAAATGTGTCTTGCCTACAGTCAAGCATGGTGGTGGGAGTGACATGGTCTAGGGCTGCGTGAGTGCTGCCGACACTGGGGAGCTACAGTTCATTGAGGGAACCATGAATACCAACATGTACTGTGACATACTGAAGCAGAGCATGATCCCCTCCCTTTGGAGACTGGGCTGCAGGCCAGTATTCCAACATAACGACCCCAAACACACCTCCAAGACGACCACTGCCTTGCTAAAGAAGGATAAAGGTGATGGACTGGCCAAGCTTGTCTCCAGTCCTAAACCTTATTGAGCATCTGTGGGGCATCCTCAAATGGAAGGTGGAGGAGCGCAAGATCTCTAACATCCACCAGCTCTGTGATGTCGTCATGGAGCAGTGGAAGAGGACTTCAGAGGAAAACTGTGAAACTCTGGTGAACTCCATACCCAAGAGGGTTAAGGCAGTGCTGTAAAATAATGGTGGCCACACAAAATATTGACACTTTGGGCCCAATTTGGACATTTTCACTTAGGGGTGTACTCACTTTTGTTGCCAGCGGTTTAGACATTAATGGCTGTGTGTTGAGTTATTTTGAGGGAACAGCAAATTTACACTGTTATACAAGCTGTACACTCACTACTTTACATTGTAGCAAAGTGTCATTTCTTCAGTGTTGTCACATGAAAAGATATAATAAAATATTTACAAAAATGTGAGGGGTGTACTCACTTCTGTGAGATACTGTACCTTAAAACGAAGCCCTCCAACGGCTTGCTGTTACCATTGCAGAAGCTTCCATCTTCACCCAGTCTTCCTTCCAGGTTCCCAAGCTCCAGCCACCTGACTGGCCGAGCCACGATGGCTTCACTTCCACACATGCGTGCAAGAGTCCCAGGCCATAGCACGGTGCTGTGAAGGAATGGCCCGGGTATGCTGTTCCTTCAGAGCGCATGCGCTGTCTCTCAAAAAGTGTGAATACCTCCTAAATGGTGCACGTTTAGGAGATATTAATTTTACCTACAGGTAAGCTTTACTATGTTACTGGATCGGAGGAAGTTCAGGTAAGGATTGGGGGGGGGGGGCGCTGCTGTACATAGAACGTTTTTTACCTTTATGCATAGATACATAGAAGGGTAAAAAAAACCTTGATCGTTTAGATCTCCAACTGGAAGATCAGCCTTAACAGACCAAAAGTGAGTAAATAAGTTCGTTTTTAGGATTTACATTTTTTTCAGTTTTCAGCAACCAAAATTTTGTGCAATTTAATGAAAAACAATACAGTGCCAGTTATAAGTCTTTTTATTTTCATTCATTCACATGGTCACTCAAAACTGGGAAATTAATAAAATAGTGGGTGACAGATTGCCAATTGAAAGCTCACATTTACCTAGTCTATGGCCAGAATAATTAGTTTAATATCAGACACTAAGGTCTCATTTGCACCAGCACACCTTGCAGAACGCACGACCACTGGCATGCACTGGAAGTAAACAGTGCTGATGCACCAATCCCAGCACATCGCACCGTTTCCTTTTCTTTTCCTCTAGATTGTTAGAACTTTATTAAAATATCACAAGTGACATTTCACTAAGATCAATTCACACAGTGGCATTGTGATACAGTAGTTTGCGTCGTAACCTGCTGTACTGAAAAAGTACTGCATATAGTAGTTTTTTCAGTGCTCACCACTGCAACAGTTCCAGATCTGGCTCTGCTTTTTAGTTGTCCTCAGAAAATGCAGACATCAACCCAGGAGTTGGCGTAAACTATGCTTGCATACGTTTGTGCTTTTATAAGACGTCAGAGTGAATTTAGATAGGAGTTGTTATCCATGGCTCAAGTCATATCTGTAGTGCTGACCTGATATAACACAGCTTTCAGGACACACACATTTCAGACTGCACACAGCTGTACTGGCAAATGTCTATCGGTTTGTTGTTGGTCACTTTGCCAGTGTGGGTTCATGAATGACAAACATTTTCAGAAAGCTACCTAATTGCAAAGATTATTGTAAGAAATTCTCAAGCCATAAAATTGTTCACCTAGCAGAAAATGTGTGTCGTGTGCGTCCATTGATTTCAGTGGGCAGGTGTGATGCATACATGATTTTTTAATAAAACCACCAAAAAGCAGGGCGTGTGTCTGATCAGCCACAACTGAAAGCAATGTTTTTTTGCCTGTAGTGTCTTATACGTGTGAATGGGCCTTTAAGTGATAGGCTGAATTCACACCTGAGTGTAGCGATTTACTGGCGTTTCTATTTGAGAATTTTTGAGTGGTTTTAGAAGTGTTATACAAGCATTTTAGAAGCGTATTACAAGAGATTTACAGCTTCAGGCCTTTTTATTTAGCCAATAGAAAGCACAAGCAGGAGGAGAGGGGGGGGAAATTAGTGGTGGAGAGCTGCTGTTTGAGCAGAAAATGCATGTAAAACGCTCAAGTCACAAGTTTTTAGGTGTTTCTATTGAGGTGTATGGGGCTAAAAACGCTTATAATCTGCCAAATAGAAACTCATGTACTTTTTTGAGTGACAGGCATTTTGCTTCAGGAGACTGAATGCTCATATGTGAACAGGGCACCATTGAAATGAATGGGATTTAGCTTGTTGAGCATTTTAGAGCTACAAGCTTCAAGCAGAAAATTGCTCAGATGTGAATGCAGCCGTAGTAAACCCATAACCAAAAATTAAATACATTGCAGCTTACCAATCATGAGGAATGGTGGCTGCATTAGTGTTTTTTTTTAAAGGCTTTTTTCGGCTTCTGTTTTCACCTGGTGATCTGTTCAGTAGCATACCTCCTGTACTAGACTGCACCCATGAATGAGCACAAGGGGTACATTTGGAAAGCAGCATTGTCAGTCCCAGAGGAGGGTAGTGTTACATGTACTAGCAGATTTAAATACATTAACAAATTGAAGTCAAGCTCTAGCTAACACTTTATAAGCAGTTGCAGCAAACTGTTTTTTTTCCTTTTGGGATAAAGGTTTTCACATGAATAACAAAACCATTGTAAGCACCCCTGCCAGTGTTGAATGGTTTGACTCATCTCTGTAACTGATGCATCTGCAGGAGAGCTTACTCTTGTGTAAAACACCAAACTTACTGGTTGGATCACCAGATGAAAACAAATGCAGCCACCACATTAAAGAATTGGTAAGCTGCAATAAAACAAATGTTTGTGTTTTTGGGTTTAATACTGCTTTGAGCCAGGTTCACCAGTAAAATTTTGCTTCAAAATGTTTATTTTCTTAATGTTCGTTCAATTTTCTAATGGTTAGTGGTGTCAAATCAACAATCGTTTTTTGACTGTAGTGACAAGAAAATTCGAAGGAACGGGATGAACAAGTTTTTTAAACATTATTCTAACTGTGAGTGTAGAACATATTGGAATGGAACCTGTTTAATGCACCTAGAATTCTTTTCAAATAGCAGGAGCGGCTGAAAATTTTAGAGGGTTTCAAAAAAAATGACAGTAGTTCATGGCAAAAACGAAGACCAGCGTTTATTTAGAAATTTCCGTATGAACACCCGAACTATATTTTAACCGTGTATGGCCAGCTTTAGCAAAGTGTCAGAATTATTTCCCCTCTGGTAAAGTTCTGCACTTATCTATGTACTCTACAGAGGAGCCGATACATAAACATTACTGCTCTGTTGGGCTTCACAGAGCTTGGTCACAAGAAATGCAGTCTGAACTGGTGCAATCTATATACCAAGACTTCTTGGCTCTAGTCAGGAAATGCTTTGCTCTGATTCCTGTAGAGGTTGCCCAGTGTAAGGCTAACTAGTATGGCCCATGCAGCAAAAGAGGTTTATAACCCAATTACACCCAATATACAATACAAGGTTTGGAAATACACTGAAATGGTAATGTGCCAAAGGTAATGGAGGAATAAACACCCACCTTCTATTCAGGTGCAAGCTGAGTCACTGATAATACATTCCATGCACGCAATACATGCTATACATTTGCATACACTCTGTACAGGCACCATACATATTTTGTGCGGACAGTTTAAGCTGCTCCACATGCCCCCTCCTTTATCAGCAATCACAGTGTAAACTCATTTATTTGACAAAGGAGGAAAACCATCACATGCATTGAAGCTAACAAGGCAGCTTATTCCTCTATTGATCCAAGTATATGACTCTGTGTGGAACTATTAAAGTGCCGGCATGTTTCATGGGACCTAAACATTTCCTAAAGTAACAACTGTTCAGACATGTAGGAAAAAAGCACAAATGGCGCACCACTATTTCAGGGCATAGCAAAGATTTTGTTGTTTTATAACTG